AGCAAAGTTTTCAATAGAGGAAGCCAAACAAACCCTTTGCAGTTAAATGAAAACCTGCTCATGCTGGCTCCTGTAAGATGAAATTCCTGCAGTGTATATAAATGGAGATGCAGCCATCCCCATACCAGACCTGCACAAGGTGATCCCAATTCACAAAACCACCTTTTTTACCCTAAGATGTCCCTACTATTCAGGGTGATGATGTTCCTTGGGAGTGTTTCTGTCCAAGAGCAAATTTGCACCAGGAATTAATGCCCAATGCTTGGGATGTGGACACGGGCAGGACTCATCAGGGTTTAGCTGGTTGCTGTGGTCGGTATCTGTGTCTATGAAGGTGCAATACAAGCTACGGCAGAGCAAGGGAGCCACGGCTGGGCTCGTTTGTGCTTATCCAGGGAAGAAAAAAATCTAGAAGTGGAGAAAATCCATGAAGCTTTGCAAAGGGATTAGGATTTACTGTAATATCAGGTGAATTCAGGTCAATGAAAAGCTGAGGCTGGAATTTATCTCAGCTGATAATAAAACTTCCTCTTCACACAACTAAAAGCAGGGATATAGTTACACATCTTATTTAACCTGACTCACACAGCCAAGCTTGAATTGCTACCTAACTACATAATTACTAATAGGATCTTTTTCCTATACTTTTATCTAACATTGTGAGGTTAAGAGTCTGTAAGATGATATTCTCCTTAAAATATTATTATGAAATCATAAAAAGGAAAAGGGAGCTGTGTGCCTGAAAACTCCATTTTATTCCCGGCATTGGTGTGGCTGTTTTGCAGTTATGGGCAAAGCCCTTAAAAATGTTCTTGTCTCAGTTTATTGAACTGTGAAACGATGATAACGCAACTGGGGATCTGGGAAAGGCTGATTCTTTATCTGTGCCTTGAGTTCTTTATATGCAGGATGTGAAGAAGTTTAAAACATCACTGTGGCACCATCTTTTATACTTGCTGTGTACTTAATGCTCTATGCTTATAAAGATGATATTTAGTTATAGAATGGTTAGTCCTCTGAGAGTGATTAAAAGCACTTGAAGATATACATTTATATGCTATTTCTCCAAATAATGATACTGTGTGCCTTTCAGCAAGTAAATAATTACAAATCATATGACTTTTCATATGATTACCCTTAGCTGATAAAAACCCCTCTGCTTCTGGCAGGATGTATTATACCGAAAAGAAATATCCTCTTCCAGTAAATTTCAGACATTTATCATTAGTAGCATGACTACTGTTGGTGAAAGCTCAGCAAAGCAGATTTAGCCAATGAATACGGAAAAAATAACGTTGTTACAAGTTACCAAACTTATTCTTAACAACTAGTGGTAAAAATTAATGAGAATAAAGTGTTAAAATCTATACAGTTATTGTTTATTTTTCTCTCTTTTTTTTAAATACCCCTGTAATCATCTTCAGAATAGCATTTCATGTAACAGAATAACTCCAATTACGTGTTTTGTCCCACTAGAGATATTTAGGGCTGAAATGGCTGTTAATTTCCATCTGATGGTGAGATGTTTATTTTCAGAACAACATGTAAACGTTTCCTAAGATGTGTCATATCCATTTCACACATTTCATGAAACACTGTGGGCATCTGTTTATTTGTAATTTTTTGCATAATTTGGCCATAATTTGCTTGATATTTTTCCATTCTTGCTTTCTGAGGGAAGGAAAATAGGCATTATACAGAGTATTTAATGCAAAGTGTGCTCTTAGCAGAACCTGAATTTTACTAGATTGGTCTTTAGGGGGCATCTGCTTTAGCTCTCATTCCTTCCTGTTCCTGCAAGGGTTTGATTAGTTATCTGACTTCCCATTTTTTTCCCTCCTGGTCTCTCTTATTATGGCTGAGACCTTCTTACGTGTTTAAATCTCAGCAGCTGCCTGGAAACAACCTTAACTCTACCTGGGATAACCTCAGTATGTTTCCTTAGCAAATATGTGTTGAGGTAAGCAGTCACTTGAGAATAAGGATGAGTTTGTCTGTACATATTTATTGGTACATAGGGGTGAAGAAAGGGGCAGTAATCACATGTGGATAACAGCCCTGTTTCCTTAAAAACTCATGATGATTTGAGGGAAACCTGTGCCTTCTCTGATCAGTCCCTCCATTCATTATGTGCAGACACACTTTTGCAAGATCATTACTGCACTTTAGGCAGAAATTGAGGTGAAGACCTCTGACTGCCACCGAGTCAACCAGCCACTGAACCCTGAGCATTGGCAAGATAAACTTGCAATAGCACAACATATAGAGTGTAGAGGGAATGGAAACAGAGAGGGAAATGAGCACATGTTGGAGGCTCAGAGCTTTGTTAGGAGATAACCTTTTTCTAGTCTCACGTGAATGGGTGCTGAAGCTAATCTAGGGAAGGTTTTGAGGAAGATTATGTTCTTGTCTCCATCAATAGCACTTTCCAGCCTTTCCCTTCAGAGGCTGATATCTGACTGTCCTTATCACGCTGGGAGCCCACAGCTGCTCAGAAAAGGCATGAAACCCTCTTGCAGGGGCAGTTCTCAGCACACCAGGCTGTGCTGGAGGCAGGTCTGTAACCAAACCTTGTGTCCCTGCACTGCCCTGCTGCTTGCCGCTGCTTGCCAAACTTCCAACACCCCCGCTCCCTGCTGCTGCCCTTAGTTTGGCAGAAAGCTCTCCTTGTCCTTTTCAGACCCAGTGGCTTGCACTCTTCCCTATTGCACACTCCAGCAGCCCCATACCCACTCCATCCTCCTCACACCCTCACTTTTTCATGCCCTTGGGGATTCTTTACTCATACCCCAGCACCACTCTGCAATCTAAGGCTTTCTAAGCCATGCGTAATTCATTTTCAGATCTCACAAACCTCAGATCCAAGAGGAAACCTATAGCAGAGAAATATCCAGCAGACAAGAAAGCATGTTTAACAAATAAAATGGTCTGAATCAGAGACCTGCCTCATGTACACTGCCAATCAATAACAACTGACTACTACCATGAATACCCACTTTCCACTCTTCCTCAAACTAATCAACTTTTATTGTTTTTAGGAAAATTCTTCTTTTTCCTCATATTTAATCCACAAAATAGCACAAATACAAGCTTCAACAGCAGATCCCCCTAACAACAACCTAAGGACAGAAGAAATTGTACTGCAAAACCAGATTCTCAAAAGCTGTCTTTAAAAGTGAGCAGGAAAGGCAGAGAAAAGACTGTTCTTCCCCTAATTATAATGCAGTTCCAGGTTAGCCTGGTTGATGTGCGGGAGGCTGGAGCTAGGATTGGATATGAACCCAAATGTCTCCTTTCTCCTACAGAGCTTATCAGAACACCCTGAACTTTCTGCCTTGGAAATATTAAGCTGGGAAAAGCAGAACGAGCTCACTGGGGAGATTTCTTGTTCATTTTTACCTGTGGCTGGGCCAGAAATACTTCAAAGAGAGATTGTCTTACGACATTCAAAGTTTTCTGACTCTGGTGCCTGCGAGAGCTTGAGCTCTACAGAGACAGAGATTTATGGGGTCAGGGTTTCAGAAGATCTCAGCTTTCATACAGGCACCAAAATAAATGACCTGCTTTTCAGAGAAGGTCTCACCACTGAAAAGGCACCCAGCCCAGAGTCCCACAGGGAGCTGGTGAATTAGGAAGTCCCTTTGAAACCAGGATTCAACTGTGAACAGGTTGCTTTTAGCTATCTGACCTGAGATATATTGAGCTAGGTTTTTAAAGTGGTTTCTGAACCAAAACCAGTAAAATCTTTAAGGCACAAAATTCAGTCCAAACATCGCTAACTATAGAATATAACATCCTGATCCTCCAGTGCAAAGAAAAAAGGAGAAACAGAAAAGCATGTAGGACCTCAGTACACCAAGGTGAGAGCTTTATATATGGATAATTATCCATTGCCTCTGTCATATGAAAACAATTCAAATACAATTGAATCAAGGGCTAGAGTCTAATCCAAAGTCTGCATTTACCTTATTTCAGACAGGGCTTCTAGGCCAGACTGTATGAACTACAGGCCCTGATGATCTCCCCACAGCCCCAGTACATGTCCATCAGGACACACTCTCCCTTTCCTAAAGAGGTTTTTCTGAGAGCGACTTTATTTTCCTTCCAGATGTGCTGTGCTATTGCACAGCTGGCTCTCACTGTGGGCCATGGTGGATCCTTTCCTGATTCTTGGAGATTTGGGAGGCTTTGCTGTCTTTGGCTTACACTGTGCAAGGGAAAAACTTGTTCATCAAAACCTTTCCATTCAGTTTCACTCCCAATAACTAAGCCTTTGTATTTTCACCACAGGGAGATGTTAACGGTGATGCAAAAAGGGTGTTGCCAGTAGCTTCAGCACAGCAATTGCCTTCCACAGACCAAAGACAAACCTCCACTGGCTACTTCTGATCCAGTACTCACTAGCAAACTGCTCTGACTGTGCAGTTAGCTTCAGAAGGAGCAGACAGCACAGATCAGTCATTTGGGACTTTGGGATAAAGGAAAGGGAAACCTGGGCAAAGTGGAAAACTTTGGAGAGCAGGACAGCATCAGGAGCCACAACGTTTGAGCTAGAGTGAACAGACCCGTGTCTTTTATAACTGTCATGCTTGGATGGTACCGCTTTGTGGACTTTTCATTACAATGTTGTTTCTAAATGCATTGAAATCTGAGTCACAAAATCCTCAAGGAGGAAAAGCCACCTTTAACCTTTCACTGATTTGTCTCTGACCACCCCTGTGAATTTTGCTTTGTGGACCTGCTGACTGTGAGCTGCCTTGTTCCGTACTGGGGTCAAAGCACATTCATAAGGTGGGCTTTGATGTGGTGCAATTCTGCTGCATTTGAGTAGCTGCCTTCTCAGGAACATGCAAATCCCCCTTGAGTCAGATCCACCCAGCCATGACTATGTATGAAATGCAATACAAGAGACATCAGAAGATCCTGAAATCAGCTGTTCACTACAAGATGTTCTAGCTACTGTTAACTGCATAGAAGAGCTGTTTGCATGTGGTACTTACCTAGCATCCCTTTGTTGGAACTGGATAAGCACATATCCTTCTCAGCACTGGGAAGAACAAATCCAACCACAAACACTTCCACCCCATCTGCCATCAGTGCCAACCCTAAAACAAAGAAAAGAGTCCACTGGAAGCGTCCATGGCCACACTCCTCAATGATGTTCTCATACTGGTGGGCAAGTTGCTCCTCATCCTCCATCCTCTCTGCCATAAGGTCAGCACGGTCTCTGTATTCATCAGCCATGGCAGGAGCTCGTTTCTTCTGCTTCTCTTTAATGTCATCTGGGTGTGGAATCCCTTGGTACTCTCCCTCATAGACCTCATCATCTTCATCGTGGCCTTCTGTAACATCACTCTGGGCATCTTCTTCATGAGCAGGCTCATGCCCACCACGGTAGTAGCCGTCATTGGGTGCATACCCTTCGTAGTTACCATCCTGGTACCTGTAGTCATCTGAGACTTGGTTTGCATCTCTGCCCCCTTGATAGAGGTTTGTGTTTCTATACCCATCATCCATTCTGAATGGAAATTTCTAATTGCTGTAGATCACTGTGTGTAGCTACTCTAATATATGTATTACTTTGAGCAATCTCTGGTATTGCTTACTTGAACATATCTTCTCTCTGTTCTTTGGAACTGATGGGATACGCAGTTTCCCAGGCTCAGAAGGAGAATTACTATATCAAGTTTCTCTTTGACAGAGTCTCACACAGCTTTTGATAATGCTTCACTTTTCAGCTGTCATTTGTAACTCGCTGGCTTCTTCTGCGCTTTGGGTGGGAAGAGCTGCTGTCTGGTGAACAGCAAGGAACAGCAAATCGCACAGCCCGGGAGCTAGGAGGATTTGACAGGTTTTCCCTGATTCATTGTGGTGGTGCGAAGGTCATGTCCTGAGAAAGAGGGAACAATAGCAGTGAGACAGCAATAACCTTTGCAAGCACACATACGTTGAGTTTAACACCCAACATTTTGAATACATGCTTTTCTATTGCAAAAAAAAAAAAAAAAGGCAACAAAGTGTTTGAGGATTGTTTTTGCATCATCAGACCCTGAAGCCTTAGAATGAAAAAGAGCATTAAAAATGACCAATTTAAGTGGAAACCCAAAGCAGAATGTAAAGTAATGTGTCATCCCAATTTCTTCATTCCCAGAAATCCTGCCTCCCACATGTGGTCCTGGTTTCTACGGAGAGCAGAACAGTATGGGGCTGGGTTGCTGGAACAGACCTCTCAGACTGATAAATAGGTTTGTATCCATCTATCCAGGGACGTACAACTGCCTAACATCATAATGACTCAAAAGATGAGTTTGGTTTTCTTTTTTCATCCAGATCCCAAACTTAATCTTATTTAATGGCTTCATTTTTTCCCTAGTGTCTCTCCGTCTGTATGACAGATACACAACTTGCATGCAGTGTCTGCCAAGATAAAGTCACTGAAAGTCGCACCAAGCTCTGTTCTTCCCATATCTACCCATCAACGGAGGATGATTTTCACAGAGAGCAAAAAACAAAGCTAATATAGAATCACTGCTCTCTGCAGGGAAAACTAAGGGAAGCCAAGTCACATCTAAGCACATTCTCATTTCTGACACCTGATTTCCATTATTTTTCAGGCAGTTTTCAGCCAGCTGGCGCTCCAGTGTTCTCCTGCATTTGCTGCTGCACACAGCTGCAGACAAGGAGTTTGCAAGGAGACTCATGTGGGAAACTGAGTAGAGTCACGCTACAGCGTGCACAGCGTAGGCATGCACAAAATGTGGACCTCCCTTTAAACTTTGAGTTACTTGCTTAAATAAAGTGTGAATGAGCTATGAAATGACATGGATGGGCACATGTCTGTATATATGTGGGCACTGTTACCTACACAGTCAGTTGACCTATAGAAGAGTACGCAAATGCACACACCGTAAATAACAGTGCTACCTCTGCACTTCGTGATCTTATTTGGCAGGCAGTATGGGTAACATGCAGCTAAAATGACTTCGGAGGAGAAATTCAGTAGAAGCCCTCTCAGGAGGACATCACTCCTGCAAATGCTGTAATTTTTTGGCAGCCCAGATATTCAGGATGAGCAAAGAGCAGACTCGTCTGCATGGAGTCATGGCCATGCCTTGCCTACGCTGTTCCAAGAAACTTCATAAAACCTTCCTCTGCATTTCTGTTTAGGACCTATATATTTATGGCACATAATTACAAGGCATCCTCTGCAGACCCTGCCAGAGTACCTTCCTTTTCTCTGACCTCTCTGCCATTTGTCATTGCATTCAATATATTTCCTCTTCCCTTGCTTCATGCTGAATCACACAATACATTTTGCATGAAGTTAAAAAGGCAGCAGGGCATTCTTCCAGGGCTGAAAAAAAGCAATCAATAAAGCAATGAATAAATAAATAAATAAATAAATCCCAAAGGTATTCTGATCAGGTTAGAAAGACCAGGAGACCCTGATGCAGGCAGCAGTAAAGAGAGTTCTGCATCCGCAATGGAGGTATTAATGTGCAAGGGAGTTAATATATCTGACAGCCATCAGAAGCATATAAGAAGATTCTGCAGCTTTTGTTGCAATGCTGGAGGGTCACCACTAATGGTTAAAAAACCCAGCAGCACTTTTGAGTCTCAGAACCTTTCAGTCTTGAAGTAACTTTCTTGTTTACACAAAGATTTGTGTCAAGAATGAACATCGTGTTCTCCAAGGCAATAAAAACGTAGTTCCAAAGAGATATATTTTCTTTTGAAAAATAAGGGGAAAAACCTTTCTTTTCCAAACAGAAAAAAAAAAAAAGAACAATATGTGCTAAGGAACATTAGGTCTTGCTTTGGATGTTTTTAAGCATCATGTGTTGGCAGGTTATGTTTCAAAGCAACCTCGAATGTCGGAGCATGAAGCACAGTGACCTCACCATGTTTGTCCCTTTCTGGTTGCTATACAAGTGGATTGAAAACTCATGATAGGTAATGAAGTAATACGAAAACCAATGATCAGTAACAGAACTGATCACATTCTGGGTCTCCACAGGCCCTACCCCTACTTTTTCTAAAGGTAAAAGTATGTTCCTGAAGGCTAAGTGCTGGGAAACTTTTCATTCCCTATTAAAAAGCCGCCGAGGCTGGAAGCTGAAATCTTTACCTCTCACAATAACAGGACCAAAGAAGATCACAAACTTAGAAAAGGCCCACTGAAGCATCCACACTCTTTCCCTGGTACACAAAAATTGTTATTTACCATATGAGATCACTTACATCTTAAGCATCATAGGAAATAAAAGCATGAGGTAACAATTCTCATAGGCCAGTGACAGCCACCTGTGTTGGGAAGAACATATAATTCAGAAAAAAGGTTGTGGCAAATAGTACTCACTGGTTTCCCATCCAGTCTGTAGGATGGATATTTTCTGGGGTCACCCTAGGAAAAGAGGCAGGCAGTGCCCAGAGACAGGCTATAATTAAGACTGCTGAATGCTTTACTTTGATACTTCACACTGCTTGTTTCCTTTCATTGCCATATACCCACAGGCTGATTCACCGTAGGCCTGGTCCTTTAATGACTTTTTACTTAAGCTGAGCTGTACTCGTATTAGCAGCCCCATTTAGCATTTAGATACGAAATCATGACTTCTCATATACATTACAGGCTTGAGTTGCTATAATTACCCTTCACAGTGATGCATGAGAGCTTGAGACAAATATACACATCACGTCAAGTCTGTTGTAGCAAGGTGGGTGTCAGTCTCTTCTCCCAAGTAACAAGCAAAAGGACAAGAGGAAACGGCCTCAAGTTGTGCCAGGGGAGATTCAGATGGCAAATGCTCCATCCCTGGCAATGTTCAAGGCCAGCTTGAACAGAGGCATGGTCTAGTGTGAGGTGTCCCTGCCCATGGCAGCGGGGTTGGTACTTGATGATCTTAAGGTCCTTTCCAACCCTAACTGTTCTATGATTCTATGATTATGAGATTTCTTCACCAAAAGTGTTGTTATGCACTGGAACAGGTTGCCCAGGAAAGTGGTGGAGTCACCATCGCCAGCAGCATTGAAAAGATGTGTAGATGAGGCCCGTAGTGACATGGTTTAGTGGTGGGCTTGGAAGTGTCCGGTTAATGGTTGGACTTGATGATCTTAGAGGTCTTTTTCAATGATCCTATGATTCTAATACAACCTTGGATGCTTTTAAACCAAGTTATCTTTCTGACACATGCAAATGAAGTTTAAACACACAACAAACGTTAAGGCTCTGTAGGGCAAAGTCTGCAGGGGAGGGAGGGGAGAGGCAGGAAAGCCTCATTATGGGTCTCCCCAAAGTAACCCATTAAACTGAGCTTTGGACACAAAGACCTGAAGTACTGGGAATACAGTTCCTTTCCTCATTTGTAATTCCTTCAATCAGTCCTGTATCTTGCACACTTTAACAGCAACTCCTTAATACACACTATGCACCTTGCAGTATTCTTGCACTCCTAAGCTCTTTAGTCAGCTCAGATATTGCATACTTAGCCAGGAATTCATTTCAGCTCTGCAATTTAAAACAGTAACCTACAGTATTGGATATACTCATAATAGAAATGGCATCTCCTGTAGGAAAAGGGACTTTTAAGAACAGCTTAACACCCATGTTTGCCCCTGAAAGCGTATATAACGGAGGTGCCTGGCATGCCCAGGTAATAACCTGTGGGCTGAAGGGCAGCAGAGCTTAGAAGGAAAGCAGGGAAGGGTGAGTTTCTTGTAGCTGGCATCAAATGAAGAGAGTCTGGGGCTTGCTAGAGAGCTGAGCTCTAGCAGAGAACAGAACTTATGGCAAATCAGTGAGCAGGGCAGTTATGAAGATGTGATGTGTTATGAAATATATCGAACATGATGGAGTTTCTGGGAAGGTAAAGAGAGTAAGGTTGTTGTCTTGTGGGAGCCAGGCCAGAGCCTGAAGGGAGGTGTGGGTGCACATATGTATGCAGTGGGGAGACTGCCAAGGCTTGGAGCTGACATACGGATCCTTCTCTTTGCACACTTGGAAAGGGAAAACTCTCCAAGTCAGCAGCTGAAGGAAGAGGTTATGCGAATGCTAAGGATAAGAAGCAGTACAGGGCTACTATAAAAATGCTTTCAAGGATCCTTAGCATTCACCAGAATAATCCCTGTAAAACAGATGGCAGAGCAGTTTAGTATTCTGCCTGAAGGACAACTGCTCTAGCAAAACACCCTCACCCCCCGAGCTGCTTTCTGCTGGCACCAATGGGAAGATGCCCACATCCTACAGTGACCATAAGGACACTCTGCAGTCACAAAGCTGACCGTAAAAAAAATTCCTAAGAGGAAATTTTTCTCTCTGAACAGAGAAAGGAAATGGTGCAGATAAGGTTTTGTGAAATTCCAATCTCAGCCTCCTAATGAGGATGCAATTAATGGATCCATTTGCACACATGAAGGGCCAGATTTTTGAGATACTTAACAACTCACAGCTCCCATGGGAGCAGTATCCTGGATTTCAGGCAGCCAGCCAGCAATTACACAAACATTATTAGACAGACTGAGTACTGTAGCAATGTCTGATGGTCACGTTGCTATATGGAAGTGAAGTGTTGCCGTGCCTGGGACACTGCTCTGTGCTGCAGGATGAGCATCCTTGGGTCTGTCCCTTGGCTTCTCGGCATTTCTGTGTCCCTCCAGGCTGCGCAATGGGAACAGCACAGCCTTCCTCTGGTGTGAATTGCAGATCAGTTACTCAAACCCTTTACAGCTGAATAGATGGCAACGTGTACCCCCAGAAGCCTAAATAAACCAGAAACTGGAGAAAACAGGTCCCTGTGCTCCCTCCTTCACAGCTGAGGCCCAGGAAAAGTAAATGTTTTGCCCAGAGTTTTTGTCAGGTTTTCACTGAATTCTTGCCTTTTATTAAG